TCCAGGAACGTCTGTAGGTTACACGTCTTTAGATTGAGGCTTTCGACCTCTGAGGGATCAGTATTGTTGAAATGGTTAAACCAGTCATCATAGTTTTCCAGAGTTATGTTCTCATCCCCAATGTTGAAGGAATTAGTCAATCTTAGTATGTTCCTAAAATCAAATGAAATGAGTTAACACTACGAGTACAAGCATCACATTTTATAATGAAAACTAGTGGGGACATCTTTTCATTAATCAACAGTGAAAATAGATGCTTTTTTTGTACTGATTAATTGATAAATATTATAAGTAAAAACACAAACTTTTACAGCATAATTCCCTTTATGATACATACCAATTTCTGCACTTATTAAAGTTTTCATTAGCTTTAAATCCAAGAATGGCAAAAATTGGAATGGATGCATATATTGACGTGAAACTGTTCATAAATCCAACAATTAGGGCATCTCTCTCACAATCATTCCTGCAAAGATAAAGCACATTTTTAGTTTTATTTTATAGTATTTTTCTATTGTGTACATAATGCTGTAAAAATGAAAAAGTGTTTATAAAGGTCTTACTTCTGAACACTATAACTGGAAAAAGCAATAAGTCCTCCGAAGGCCAAAGACAAAGAGAAAAAGATCTGAGTAGAAGCATCCAACCAGACATCAGGATTCTTAAGAGTTTCCCACTGCAAAGAACATACTAATTGTTAGTTAGACATCCATTTGTATTCATTACTGTCAATCATTCATTCTAAATAAAGCGAATATCAAACTTACATCTGGAGTGAAGAGATATATTAAGCCATCTGTGGCCCCAGGCAGAGTCAGTGATCTGATCAAGAAGATGGTCAAAACCAGATATGGGAAGGTGACTGTGACATAAATAGCCTGTTGAAACAGTTAAATGCTGATCAAATATTTCGTATTCAAATCAAATGGAAATACAGATTTTTGTAACCTCATTTATCATATGCACTCCTTATGTGTGTGGGGTTTTGAAAGTGTGTTCTTACGGATGGGGAGCTCTTCTGTCACTTGTTTAAGTGATACTAAGACAGTCTTCCGTCCATCACCTTTAATGCAGCCTCTACCCGAGTGCTATATCACATGTTAAATAAGATTACTGATGAGCTTGTTTTTGCTGATCCCATTATACCATGATTTGTAACTTGTATGCTTGGTGGATTTGTGCCAGTGATGATTCACTTTGGAGGGATCTACACTGCATGTCGTTGTGTCCCTGAGACACTTCACCCCAAAGTGCTCCTGTGGGGATTCCACAGTACTGAATGTATGTACCGTAGTTTTCGGACTATAAGGCGCACCTGAATATAAGCGCAGCAGCGGCATACCACTCTCGGTTCCACTTTTACTTTTGCTCGCTACCTGTCTCACTCTTTTCCGGCCTCCAGCTTTTCCTGCTGGAACCCGCCGCTTAAAGGTGGGGGTCCGCGGACCGGCCATAGAGCCCATAGAGTTAAAGGTGTTGGCTGTTAGCTGTAAAAATCCATAGATTAGCCGCACCGTTATATAAACCGCAGCGTCGAAAAATAGGGAAAAAGGCGCGGCTTATTGTCCGAAAATTACGGTAAGTCGCTTTGGATAAAAGTGTCTAACAAGTGACATGTAATGTAATGTAATCTATTCCAGCATTTCATTTCTATTTGCATAGTCCATTTCCATTTCCTATTCATTAAATGTTTACATTATATAGATGTTTGTACAGAAAGCCAGTGTTACTCTTATAGTTTCAACATTTTGAAATCAATAGTTGGGCTGTAAGATACAACAAATAGATGTAACGTTAAAAATATGCATTACATCTAACAGTACAAATGACCTTTCCAATAGTCTCAATTCCCCGTATGAAGCAGATGTACACGAGGCACCAAGCCGTTGCGAGACACAGTACGAGCCACCACTGAAAGGAGCCGCTGGTCTCGATGTTTGGTGTGATGTTCAGTGTTTCACGATACCAAAAGTAGTTCACCGCCGAGGCCTTCTCACATTCACTTTCATAGCCTGTATCAAAGAGAGTGTTCATTATGAAATAATGTATTGGACTATTTGTCTTTTACTTTAGTTTTTAATCAACCTTTATCTTTAAATTATATTATTATGAAAAGATAAGATAAGTAAGAAAATACCAGTATGATTCAAGTTTATTGGGCAGTCCCTCCAAGGAAGTGGGCTTTGAAAGGAGTGGAATAAGTACCAGAGGATCCAGGCAATGATCATGTTGTAGAACAGGCTGATTAGGAAGGAGACTGCCAAGGAAGCAACACCTGTATATCCACATTTACACATTCACAAAGAAATGTATGAATGTTACGAAAGGCAGTGATTTCCAGATAATCATGCACACACAACTTTAACTTATATTTGTACAGGACATCCCCTTGTTTTGGCTTATTGTTTTCCTGAGTAAATGGTATTGATTGAACCTTCTCACCTAATCCTCCCATGTAAGGGGAGATTGAATTCCACACTCCAATACTTCCCATGCGGAGCCGTTGTCCGATGGCCAGCTCTATGTGCAGAAGAGGAAGTCCCTCAAACACCAACGCAATGGCATAAGGAATTAGAAACGCCCCTTCAAATAGGGCAAATCAAAGTCATAACAATGGCCTCAATGACTGATAGGGGACAATAACACAATACATATGAGATCAGTTTACTTCAAAATAAACATTGGCAATGCCTTTTATTTTTGAAGGTCATTCGGTTTATGATTACTGGACATTTTACTATCAACAATCTGAGCTTTATCACACCCAGCAATAGCTCTCAACACCAGGGGCCTCATTTATAAACGGTGCGTACGCACAAAAGATTGCGTACGCCAGTTTCTACGCACTGATGGCGATTTATAAAAAACTAACTTGACGGGAAAATGTGCGATCCTCCACGTAAACTCTGACCCATGCGTACGCACTAAGAACAAAAACGGGAGGGACGAGAAACTGCGACACCATTGGCAGAAGGAAGAATGGAGACAAATGTGTGACAACTTAATTGTGTTCTGGAAAAACAAGATAACAACATGCAAATAGAAGCAAAGTAATATTTGCATAATTTCTGAAACCACATCTCATCAAAATAGAGAGTGGGATAGTTATGGTTAAATAAAATCTAAAGATAAAACTGTTTAAAAAAAATATGTGACTATTGTGAAGCATTTCAGAATAATTGTTGTAGTGTGTTTGTGTTTCTGATTGTATAGTGAGATTAACATATTGGAAATAAAGGTTGTAGGCTATTTAAGGGAATTAAAATGATAGTAACAGCTTTTAAAGCAGTGTAAATAGTTTATCATTGTGTTGTAAGAGCCTTTGGATATATTAATACAACATATTTGTCAAACCAAATATTAAAAAAAGGTCAAATATTTGCGACCCACTTTACTATTTTGTTATCATCAAAAAGCTCTTACCTCCTCCATAGGTTTGACACAAATATGGAAATCTCCACACACTACCGAGTCCCACAGTAAAACCTATGCAGGTTAGCAAGTATTGAACTTGATTGTCCCATTGTGGTCTTTCAGCGATGTCTTTAGGTTCATCATCCTGCATCTCCTCAGCACTTCCAGGTGTATCCATCACTAGTTTTCGTTGGTATTTCAGAATATTGTAAGAGGCAAATCTTCTTTTATCTGACTCGTTCACTCTGTCTGAGGAGAAGGGGAGGACCTTGGATCTTGTTACCTGTTTGTATCAGGAGGCGAAGGGGCGACATGTTCTTTATCAGCCTCGTATTTTGTGTTTGCTTTTAATCCTGTGGGAACAATCTGGTTGGTTTGTTTAATAAAAAGCCCTTGTGTAAAGCGGCGTGATCTGATGTTGATTACAAAGCTGCAACATTGAAAGTTATACTACGCAGCATAAATAAGGAACCCCGAGAGAAAACTGTGCAAATCAATTCCTTTTCATTCATAACGTGATACAGTCTACATTGCATTTCTTATTTTACAGTTGTACAAGGTTTCCATTACTTCAGTCAATGGTTATTATCCCTTACAAAATGTACTGTACAAGTATCTATTGTGGATGCAGTTCCTTATCAAACTTAATTTGAATTATGTTATCTTTCATATTCATACAGACTACAATCAGTCACATCCATTATAATTCAATTTAATATTAAAGTAAACTCATAAAGCATGTATTTACACATGGTAAATGCATTTAAAAAACAATAAGCAGCTGATTTAATTACTATTTACTTCTCAAACACATCACAATAGTGACCCCAGCTGGACAGATTAATGTACTTTCATTGCATGGCTCGAAGTCAGTTTCCTTTTGGGATAGTACTTCCTCCCATTCTTAAAATCAAATAGTGAATCACATGGTAAACTGTAGCTGTCTAATCAAAGTTAACCCCACAAAAGTATGAACTCACAGCGTTACCCTGGGATAGTAATCTATTATGGGCTTGAATTTACGTTATTAGATTTTCTCTTGGTCAATTTCTTACAAAATACAAATTAGATTGTGGTCCCTTGTGTTGTTTTCGAAAGCTCTTACCGTTCATGGTGTTCGCGGGTCAATTTTGACCCATAATTTATTTCAGTCCAAAACACACCAAATTATACACTTTTTTTTTAGAGACCTTCAGACTTGGCTAAAATTGTCAAAATCAGTTTTGTAGTGTTTAGCTGTTGTGGAGGATATCATGAAGACTTGTTCCGATAAAAAAAACTACAGTAGAGCGTAGTTATTATATAATTTTAACTTGAAACGGGTCACAGGAGACCCAAAAACAACATAAGGGTTAAGAAATATATATAATGTTATAACTTCACAGAAAGTTATAGGAATAAGGGCCCACCTGGGGCTTCATTTATAAAGGGATATACGCTCAAAAAATGGCGGCAGTTTCTACGCAATGTTTGCGATTTATAAAATACTAACTTGACGGGAAAACGTGCGGTCCTCCACGCAAACTCTAACCCATGCGTACGCACTAAGCACAAAAACGGGAGAGACGAGAAACTGCGACACCGTTGGCAGAAGGAAGAATGGAGAGAAATATGTGGAAATAATACCATAAATAAAATGTTACCTCTCATTTATCATATATGAAGAATTTATTTTCAAACATTGATTAAAGCCAATCTTAAAATGATTTAACAAACGCCTGTTTGAGACTCCTCAGTGCACACAAAAACATAACTGGGAGAAATACATAAATACGGATATGTTATTTAAAACCACCTCGAATATGTTGTGTTCATGTTATGAAATGTGTTCTCATAAATGATGCGGTAAGCAGGAGGACATAATTACGTCTAAACTGACGCCGTTTTGTATTTCTATAGGTTGTAGATACGAGCATGGTTTTATATATGTGCAATCGTGTTTTATGCCGTCTGCCAAGACTTGATAAGTCGCTCTTAAAACACAGGATGTATGGAAAGTTTGGAACTAAGAGCACCATATGTGGTAAATTGTACAGCTAATATAACACAACACATTAGTTGTAATTTCCTTTAACTGGTGGATATAGAGTTG